GCCGTCTGCCCCCCCCCCCCCCCCCCCGGCTCTCAGTTGGAACCCAACCCAGCTTATTTTAGGCCAGAAAACCACAGTGGGTACTGGAGCAGATGTTGGACTGTTCCACGGCCATTTGCAAGGTACATACAAAAATCGAAGTTTCTTTTCATGAACCGCAGAAACGAGTTAAGTGCCAGTGCGGAAATTCAAACCCATAACCTTTGGACTGCGGGGCAGACGAACCAACGACTAGTCCCCGACTGCTGATGCAAGTGCTACGTATTAATTCAAACGTGCTCCTGCGGTGAACCTCCCGAACCTCAGCATCGCAAGCCAAATAAAAAGCGCGTCTGTCAGTAATCACATCTTGGATGCTGACGGAGGGGATCAGAGCAGATGTGGATGCAGTTCCAAAAACACTTTAGCGGGTCAGTCCGGCCTTGTGTGTGTGTTCAAATAAACCCACCTGAATGCCCCACAATGGCGCACTGCGGTTAAGCAACCTGTTGATGCGTTACACAAACGCAGCAAGAAACCGCAAATCCTTTCCCAAAGCAGGATACTTTTATAGCCATTAAGCAGCCTTTCATCACTTCCACATCCAGCTGTGATGTTTTTATGAAAACAGTACACCACCCCTCCCCACCCTCATCACGCCAACACACTTATGCACCCGGCAAGAGTCGCCAAGCAGAGGAATTCACGAAAAGATCAACGCAAGTCACAGGTGGAACAATAAACCTCCCCGACAGGAGACATTAACATGCGTGTAATTCCCGTCTGCTGTGACTCATATTTGACAGGAGCGGCAAATAGCCCCAGCCACCAACAGCGGCTGGCTGTGTGCAAAAGGGACATGGGGGCTAAGAAAGAAATAAAAAAATGTCAAAAGCAAAAGTAATCGAAAGCCAGGCCAGTGGCATTTCCTTGGGGTTGAATAAAAAGGGGCTGTTTACTGCGACTTTGTCACCATTATTCTCATTTGCATCAGGAATTAGATGAGTAAAGACACATTTGAAGCAGCCCATTTGGGGGAAAAAAAATCCAGTGCTCTGATCAAATCCTACGAAGGAATTAGCCCAGGGATGGGCAATTTAAATGCAGGAGGAGGGCACACAAGTTTTCAGCAGTGCTACTTAGGGCGAAGGACGACGAAAATGGAGCTTTCTTGCCGTCAGTCGTATCGTCCAGCTCGTACAAATCTTTTTTTAGGCTAGCGGTGATCGGAACAGCCGAAGCTAGCGAAGCTAGCAAAGCTAACCTCGTTGTCATCCAGGTACATTTTTACTCTCAGAACCGATTTCGCTGCGAGAATTAGAAAGCCTTCTGCAAATCTGCAGACTGGAAAAGGAGAAGCCAAAAACAGCCGTGAGCAATTAGTCGACTTTTACATTTTTTCCGAGGTCGATAGAGTTAACTTGTCCGCTCGACCCACAACTCTCTTTCGCTAGAGAATTCATCCAATCAGTCGCAGGGATCGTAAATAGATGGTTGATACAATTTTTTTTATTAATTATTATTTTTCATTGAATTATTTATTAATAATTTAGTCCGTATATGACATTGGCTACGCCATTGAACGCGGGCTGCTCATGCCGTCAAAGCTGAGTCATTCTCTTTACAACTCCGTTACAGATGGAATATCATTAGAAATGCAAGCTGATCAGGTTGACAGGTCGATCCTGTCAAACAAATACATTTATGAATTAAACTCCAATGGCGCATCCGTACCAATTACTGGTCGACAGCAAGCAACCTCGTCACGCTTCATTACAGCTGTCGTGCCCAACGGTGGTGACAGATAAAAGTCATTTCACTGGGGGGGGGGGCTGTGTTTTACTCAGCTGAAATTGACGGCCGATTCAATCCATCCAACGCCGCCCCACCTCGATACCAGAGGCTCCGTCGAGGGATGCAGGGCAGCCACCCGGCAAAAGTAAATCTTATTAGGAAAAAAAATGTTCCTTCATGGCCTCATAAGCTGCAGTGGAGTCAGCGTTTAAGTCCGAGTGGACAGGTCACACCACAAAACTTATCTGCAGTCATTAATGGGCCACCATAAAGCTGATTGTGACTGCTTGACTGCTGTTACTTTGCAGCAGCCACTTTTTCTGTGGACAACAACCAGTTTTTTTTTGTTTTTTTTTACACCACTGTGGAACCCCTTCAAGTCAAATTTGGAATTTGACCTTGATTGCCAGAAAAAAATAGGCCTAAAAAAAACCTCAGCAGTCTCACACAACCTCAGATTAAAGAGCATCTAGTGTTAACTACAGTAACTAACATGTTTTGGTTTTTTTTTAGGACACTTTTAAAAGCAGGAGCACCTTCGAAAAGAGGTGTTAATCTTCCTTTTATTTGACGGTTAAATTAAGACTTGAGTTCAAGACATACGACGCGCGACAATAACACATTTTCACTTGTGGTGACAGCACTTCACGTCCCCCCACACACGTGGAAAATTTCGTTGAGCAAACAAGTATGCACCGCTGAGTTAACGCAAATGCTAACGTGTGTCTCCAACATCACATTCACATCCACAGGACAGTGTATGTAAAATTCTCAACGAGTCTTCAACGAACCTAAAATGGGGAGTGTGGGACGAAGCCGGAGGACCTGCTCAATTAAAAAGTCAACTTTTCGGAACATGACTCCTGTATAGTGTGTCTCTTTATGGTGTCAAAATGGAAACAAACTGGTTGGAAGAAAAAAAAAAAAAACCCCGAAGCATCGTATAATTAAAATATGCGGCCCAGCAAATTTGAGAAAGTGACAATTGACAGAAGAAGATGACATGAAATCAATCAGAGGCGATCTGAACTCTCTGCAAACTTTTTCGAGAAGCATTTCTCATCGGCGCCATAAGGAACCGTTGGCAAGTTTGTCAACCCGCCTGTCACCGGAGACGAGAAAAGGGCGCAGCGGGGGGGCCCGCCGGGGTGCACGTGGGAACGAGGGGGCCCCCGTGAAGGCTCGTCCTTTGTGCGGCCAAAGGACTCGCCGTCGGGCACGCTGCTTCGGCTAATCGCCCACACCGACGCGTTCGCCCGGGCTTCATCGTCTTCCTCCGTTTGCTAATTGTTCCGTTCATCACGCGGTCGCGGCGCGAGCGTGCACGATCGACAGCGAAGCCAGGTTATTAAAAATGTATGTTCCCGGATTCACGACGTACTTATTTCCCCACACGGCCGTACCGAGCTGAAGGAACTCAATGTAAATCTTCCATCTGTGCAGCCGGTGTTTACACTTAATTAAAAAACATGGTGAAGCGCGGCTGAGCGTGGCTTTACACCTGCACAGTAGAAATGAAGATCAGCTTCATTTTGCGTTTTTTGCTTGATGCAGAGGGTGGTAGGGGGATCCTCGGTTTAGCACGCCGCCAACATTTTAAGGCTACGAGGTTAGCTAGGAGGTCACAAGCAGGTACTCTCAGTTACCGCCATACGTCATTTTTTTTTTTTTGTTTTGTTTTTTCAAATTGTGTGATATTGACTTAGGGCTGCAACGAACAATTATTTCAATCTTCAATTAATCTGTTGACAAGAAGGCATGACTTCAAAAAGAAAAATCAGGGGTGTAGCCAGAAGGTTTTCAGCGGGGGTTTGGCCAGCGTGACACAATACCTCAAGTGAGTACTTGAAGGAAAGGTTGTTTGGATTCTGAAAACGGCAGGGTGCCTCGTGTCGATTAAAACTTTGTGCGACTTCTAGCGACTTGGGTACCAACGTGGCTTCTGTTTCCACGCTGGGGAACGGAGCTCCAGCCAACGGGTGACTCACCGCTGTCTTCGATGGAGAACTGGAAGACGTCGTTGGTGGCGCCGGCGCCCTCCCTCAAGACGTAGCAGATGGTCATGTCGTTGATGTCCGCTAAATAAAGAGATGCGAGAATATCAGTCGTTGTTGCTTTTGTCCTTCAAAGGTGCTCATGGCGCAAAGACTTGAAGGATGGGGTGGGGGGGGGGAGTGCTGGACACGCCGTTGTTTGCTTGACACACAGATCATTCACTAAAACTTCTGAAATGATGATTAATTCACAGCAAATAATGTATCTTATCTATGCCGGTGATGTATAGTGACAGGCAGAACAATTAAAAATGCTCGTCCGCTAGAAGGCAGGAGGTACAATTGTCCTTTGTGCCCACCTGTTGCCATTCATACAACACAACAATAGCAGGCCCACATTTCTCACTGACGAAGTACAATTGTGACTTCACTGAGAGCGGACCGTCGCTAGTTCAGTACGTTTACTTTGTGAGACATTTTTTGCTTCTTTTATTGTCTCTCCGGGCAGTTGTTTTTTTTTTTCCCGCATTCGCGAGTCGAAGCCGCTCACCTCGTCGCAACGCCCTCGTTCTGCCCCCTGAGGTCATTTGGCCATTGAATTGCGCTTCAGCACTCGAATTGCAAAGAGCAGCAGGAAATGCACTTGACTCTGTCACGACCCTTGAATCATATAAAAAAAAAAAATCTGCTCTATTCCTGAGGTTCTTCCATTCTTGCTGGACAGACTGTTTTTCACAGCTCTGACGCGGTAGCAGCCGGAGGTTTACACCCATTGCCATCTTCAATATTTGATGGCCAAGCCTTTTCCCTTCAAAGAGATCGATGCATAGAAGAGCATCGCTGCGTATTTCAAAAAAGCCCAGGAGACGGCGTCCTTATTTACTGTCTGTTTACTGGTGAAATATTGAACAGGCCTCTCGGGGAACGCGGCGGCTTGGCGAATAAAAGCCAGCCGGCGGCTGCACATGGCTGGCTGCGTTTGCATGTCGCCTGCTCCGGCGTAACTTGCGGTGTGCAAAATTGAGCGATGCGACATGACCTCCACTCTCTCCCTTTGACATATTTGCCAGTTATTTATTGCGACGCCTGTGATCTTCCCGTCTGCTCGCACAAAATGTGTCTCCAGTATGGTACAAATCACCTGCGCTACGTTCCCTTGAGTGTAATCCATTAGGCTCTCTTTGAAATTCTCCCGTGAGATCCACGGCTGCCTGAGGCGCTGGCATATTTCGGCACTCGTAATAGCAGAGGCGCTTGAGTGAAAAAAAAATAATTAATTAAGACATGGAAATCGTTCAGCATTTTTTTTTGGGGGGGGGGGCACCATAATGAAAAACACAGCAAAATACCTGTCGAAATTAAAAATCATATGATGGAGAAAAAAACATGATGTGGTTGTCTATGAATGTAGTCTCTCGATTTCTTCCCCACCCAGCCAGTCAAGAATTTCAGAACGAAGAAAATCTTTTGTTTCTAAAATTGAGAAAAACGAAACAAAACAACATTTTGGCCAGTTGCGATGTCGCAGTCCAGCTAATTCATCGGAACGTCATTGTAAACAAAGGAAATCGCCCGTAACCACACGCCCCATCTTGGCTGCGTCGTCGGATTGAAAAAACAAAACAAAACAACCCACAAGTGAGCTATTTGCATGTAAAGAAATTCACCTTCAAAGCACAAGCACCTCTCCCTCCATTTGTGACTCATTGTTAGACTCAAAACTGAAATCAATTTTTTGGAATGACCAGCAATGACTTCTTACCTTGTCTGAAAGCGGTGACCGTGGCATTCCCTTTGCTCGCGTCGATCAGGTAGCCATGCTGCGGCGGAGCGGTGATACGAAAGAGCACGGAACCCTGCGCGCTGTCTCGGTCTTCCGCTTTCAGGAACTTGTTGGTGATCACAAAGCCCAGGCGCCCGCCGTCTAGAACCCGCAACGTCGGCGCGCCCTTGTTGACCACGATCTGCGGCACGCCGTTGTCCAACGGGAGGATGCTAATCTTCATGACCTGGGGCTTTCGGGTCTCGAAGACAGTGTCCGGGAAGACGTAGAAGTCAACGTGGGTGCCATCCGTGACCGTGAAGGAAAAGCTGTCCTCGGCGCTCTCGGTTCCGTCGTGCTTGTAGCTGATCATGTTCTCGTTCAGGTCCTGCTTGGTGAAGGAGGTGACGGGCCGGGTGGTGTTGAAGAGCAGGCGCCCGTGAACGGGGATCTGGGTGACCGTGAACTTCAGGAGTCGGTCCGCGGTGTCTCTGTCCTCCACCGTCAACTCGAAGGGTGTGACGAGCTTGTTCTCGCCCTCCGTCACCACCATGCCGTGCACCGTCACCACCGGCTTTTTGTTGTCCACGTCCGCGATGGATATGCGGAAGGTGCGGAAGACCGGGTTGTAGCCGTCGGTCACTTCGAACTCGAAGCTGTCCATTTTCACCTCGTCGTCGGCGGTGTGGATGTAGTAGATTTTGTTGCCTGCCAGCTGAAGCTGCGTGAAGGACGAGATGGGCATTCCGGGCGTGTCCGTGCACTCCAGGTGGCCTCGCACCGGAGCGCGGGTGATTGTAAAAATTAAGTGCTCATCCGGGCTGTTGTGGTCGCTGGTGCTGAGCAGGTCTGTTGTCAGAGTGACCCGGCCGCCTTCTTTCAGGGACACGCCTTTACTGACCACGTAAGGGAAGACCATGTCGATGCCGCCCACCGTCACATAAAAGTATCGGTCAATTAAAGGGTTGAAGCCATCTGTCACGTCAAATTTGATGAGGTCTCGGACACCCTCCTGGCCGTTGTGCACGTAAATGATGAAACCCTGGTCCAAATCAGCCTGGGTGAAATTCATCCCGGCGGTTATGTTTTGCAGCACGCCGCTCGCCGTCGTTTTCTGCAAATAACCCTGCCCGGGCGCGTAGCGAACGACGTACGTCAGCGCGCTGTCCTCCGAGTCCAGATCGGTGGCCCTTAAAATGTTGCCGTTGATGACTTTTACGTCGCCCACTTCAACATCGAGACCGTCGTTGATCTCCATCCTGGGCGTCTCGTCGTCCACGGGGATGATCATGACGATCACGGTTTTCTGCACGCTGAACTTGCCGTCGGTGAGGAGCACGTCGAAGCTGTCCTGCGTGGTCTCCGTATCATCGTGCTCATAAACGATGCTGGAGGCCTCCCTGATCTGCTCCAAGGTGAAGTTGGACACGGGCACGGTGCCGGTGGTCAGTTGATTGAGAACAAATCCGTGCGCGGGGGGTCTGGTGATGACGAACGTGAGTTGGTCAGAAGGGACGTCGGCGTCGGCGGCGTTCAGGATGGGGGTATCGATCACGATGTTCATGCCCTCCATGACGACAAACTCCCTCATGTAAATCTCGGGCTTCTCGTCATTCGCGGGGATGATGGAAATGGGAAAAAAGTGCTTCTCTGAGAAATTGATTCCGTCGGAGCATCTGAATGTGAACCTGTCCTCTACTGGCTCCGCTCCTCTGTGGATGCTTTGAACATAGTAAATGTGATGGCGCTGAATGTCCTTGATGGTGAAAGCGCTGACAGCCACGCCGGACCTGGATTTCTCGGACCCGGGGGCCGGGGAGATATTTTCAACGTAGCCCGAAGTCGGCTGCACGATGATGGTGCACAGGAGGTCCTCGACGAGCGTGTCCATATCATCCGCGCTGATATGATGAGTCTGAATGGCATTCTTCTCACCCTCCAGGACGGAAAAGAGCTTGCCCACAAAGACCTCCGGGGCCTGGCTGTCCAGGGGCAGAATCGTCACCCGCACTCTGACTCCAGTAATCTTATTGCCTCCTACCGTCCATTCGTCAGACATGTCCGTCAGAGTTAAAGTGAAAATGTCTTCTCTCGTGGTGAAACCCAATTCGCCGCTGGTGTGGGCGTAGATCACGTGGCCGTTGATGATATCGGCCTGGGTGAACATGGCCGAAGGGACCCCTCGGACCAGAATTTGGCCGAGCGATGGCGGATCCTCCACGATAAAGGTCAGACGCAGGTCGTCCGTGTCCTCGTCTCTCCCCTGAATGACGTGACTGGTAATTTCGGTCGCCCCGTTCTCCAGGACATCGATCGAGGAGCCGATGGTGCCTGCGGGGAGGCTGATAGACGGGGTCTCATCATCAATCGGCTTGACGTTAATCTTTACGTTGATCGGTACCACGTGGACCCCGTCGCTGACGTCTATTTGGACCGAGTCTGACGTCGATTCGTCCCCGTTGTGAATGTAAGAAACTCGACCGTTGTCAATGTCCTCCAGGTTAAATGCGTCTCCTCTCATCATGTCTGCGAACATGAACCGGACGTGCCCGTGCCGAGGAGGCTGAGAAACAGTAAAAGAGATCCGTTTGCTGTCCGTGTCTGAATCCGAGGTATACAGCTCGGCGCTCGTTATGGTATGCGCGCCCCGCTCCAACACTGTAAATCCAGAGTTGGTGATCAGCGGCGGCTTGTTGTCCACAGGCTTTAGGAAGATCGTGAAAACGCCGTTGGCGCCGTTCCCGGAAACATCCTCCACCGTGTATCGGAACTGCAAAACGTGCGTGGTGATTCCCAGCTCCAGATCGGGCGGTTTGTAAGCTATTTTGTGATGGTTGATTTGAGCCTGCGTGAAAGTCGTGACTTCAACCTCGGGGTTTTCGGTCAGGACCAGAGCTCCCAGTACCACGGGGCTGTTCTCGTCCGTGTCCGTCGGCGGTCGGACGATGACGTACTTGAGGTCGCGATCCTCCGAGTCGAGATCGGTGTAGCGTAGAAACTTCTTCCGCAAGTGCGTGAGCTGATACTCGTGCACGGTCATTTGCAGCGTGGCTTCCGGGTGCATCTCAGGCGGGAGGTCGTCCACGGGGAGGATTTTGATCACGAACGAGCTCTCCTCCGACCGGTTGGGGGGCTCGTTGTCATCTTGAACACGGAACTTGAACTGATCCATGAGCGTGCGGGTGCTGTGGGGCCCGACGTGCTTGTAAAAGACTTTGCCGTCGGTCACGTCCTGCTGCAGCCATTCGGTCACCGCCTTCTCGTACATTTCCTCCTCCTCGTTGAACTTCCATGTCGACGGGTCCTCCGGGGCCTCGGCCTGGCGCAGCAGCACCTGCCCGATGGGGGAAAAGGGCGGCTGGATTACGAATTTGATGGTGGAGTCCTCCGAGTCGATGTCGGCCGCGCTGAGCATGAGGGATGAAACGGGCACCATTTGGTTTTTGAAGAGGACCAAACCGGTGTTGGCGTTGATGATCGGCGGCTCGTCGTCGGTGGGCACGACGGTGATGGGAAACAGAAACTCGACCTCGTGCGAGCCGTCCGTCATTCGAAAAACGATGTTATCGCTGTAAGTGTCGCTGCCGTCGTGCTGATAAATGACTCGGCCGGCGTTGAGGTCGGCCGGCGTGAAAAATTTCCCACCGGACCCCGAGACGGTTAAGTGCCCGTGTTTCAGGCCGTCGATCACGGAGATTTTGACCTTGTCCAGGTTGTCCTCATCACTGATTTCCAGATTTTGTGAGCTGGACAGCGGCCTGGATTGTCCCTCGTACAGCAACTGACCGGTGTTCTTGGTCACCACCGGGGCCAAGGTGTTCATGGGCTTCACGACGATCATGAAAGCGAAAGGATCCGACACGGCCCCCTCCGTGTCCACCACCTCAAATTCCAGCTGGAAAATCCGCTCGCTGTCTGAATCCACCGCGGGGGGCTTGTAGGCGATTTTGAAGTCTTTGAGGTCACCCTGATAAAAGGACGTTATGGGTAAATTCCTGTCGTCCGTGCTCACGATGTAGCCCTCCTCGTAGGACAGTGGCGACGTGATGTTGAAAATTAACTCATCGGGGTCCGACTCGGCGTCCTCGGCGGCCAGCATGTCGCCGGTGAGTGCCGTCATCACGAACTGGTCCACTTCCATCATCATCATGGCCAGGAAGCTGGGCTTGGGTGGCGTGTTCTCCTCGCCATCTTTAATCCTCACCAAGATTTGGAAGAACTCCTGCTTGAGAAGGTTGCCCTCCTTGTCATGAAGCTCCACCACCATGGGGATGTAATCTCTGCTCGGCGACTTCAAAGGAAACGTGTGCCGGTAGCGGAGGTTCATCTCGATGAATTCCTCGCAGTCGGTCATTCCCGTGGCCAGGTTGCTCTCGTCGACCAAGACCCCATACCGGGGCAACGCGCCTTCTCTGGTCAAGGGGGTGATCCTGCACCGCTGTGCCAGCATGTCAAATGTAAATTCCAAAACGCGCCTGTCGATGGGGTTGCTGGTGCCCAGCACCTTCTCCACTGTGAGCGGCATGTTTTTGGTGAGCACCTCCAGCTGTGTGAAGACCACCTCCACCTCCATCATGAAAGGGATCACAACGGTGTCGGTCTGCGTGTCGTACCTGAGCTGCAGTCTCACCCGGTCCCTGGCTGGACTCCGCGAGCCAAAGTGGGAATACTTGACATCGTTGGGGCCAAATTCACACAGGAACTTTTTGGGGGTTAAGGTCCCGGGCCTCTGGGACAGAGGGTCATTGTCCAGCACGGTGATGCTGCACCTGTCACCGGGCTGAACTTGAACCACCAGGTCGTTGATGGGGTCCACAAAGGCTGACCTCCCGAAAGGCACGCGGATGCCGTTGTTGGCCACCAGCACCGTGTCCTCGGACAGCTCGGACCTCAGCGCGTAGGACAGCCCTCGGTCGTTCCCAAACTGCGCGTCGCTCGTGGCGGTGAGGACAAGCGCCAGCGTGAGAAAAGCCGCGCCGGACGCGTGCGCGCGCGGAGGAGGCACTGCACCCATTTGGAGCTGGAGAGAGTAGACGCGGTTTAACTTTGCACCGCGTTCGCGCACACGCACATTCACACACACGGGGACTCACGCACACACGAGCACGCACACAACTAAAGTTGAAGAGTCACACGGCGTCGCGCAGCCCCCACCACCAAGGTGCACCATTCTCCCGCAGCGTCTGTGCACTGGCGAGCCAAACTTCATGCTCGCTGCTCTTGGAAGGAGTAAAGCGCGGCCGCGCCCCCCTCGCATCCTATTGGCCGCCGTCACGGGGGCAATGTGATTGCACGGAGAGGAGATGAAGACTCAACGCGTCAATTCTGTCACATCCGGCATCTTTCCACTTGGGTCTGTGTGGAGAATTCCCCTCACAAGCAACGTATTTGCGTTGAAAGACGAGGGCTGAAGAAAAGGTCTGCAAGTTGAAAACTTTGTCTCCCTCTTTCGGCGAGAAGCGCTCATGACAGCTTTTTAATGAACGCATATTCTTGACCTTTCTCGACTTGCTCTCCAATGTGCAAAAAGAAATGGATAGAACAAAATAAGTCGATGGGGGGCGGGGTGAAATGACCCCCCCCCCTCCTTTTAAGTACATGAACACAATCAAATAGAAGATGCACCGATATGGATAGCGACACATATTGATGATTGTGGGTGAAGTTTGCGTCCCATCAAACTCTGCGTTATTTATCATGCGTTTCAGGCTAAGTGCACAGAAGCATAAAATACAATTCACGCCGAAAAATGTCAGGAAGTAGGACCATATCTGCCACTCGAAGCGTAAACACGCTCAGGGAGGTATTCATTTAACGATATGTTTCTGGTGCAATTTCACCAGCATGACGCAAAATACCCCCCCCCCCCGGGTTATCATTTTAAGTGAACTTCTTCATAACTCCCAACACCTTATTAAGACCTAAAAGCAAGTGAAAACTGCCTGGTAAAAATAAGTGCTTTGAGTTTTTGCAGTGAGGCCCCAAGATGTCAGCCACTTCCTTCAGCGACCCCCGTGCGCCCGCCCGTCCGTCAGCGGAACATTAGCGGAACATGCTCCTGACGCACAAACAGCCCGGTCATGACCGGCCATCAGTCTGCAGCGGCGATGATGAAAAGCGAGCGGACACCCACGCCGAGCAGCAGAGCAGCGGGGCAGGTCAAAGTGAGCCGTAAAAATATCAAACGCCAGTTTGAAGCATCATCCACATTACTGAGCCGGGTGAGGGGAGGGCAGGTGCGCCTTGAAAAGTAGAAAAATGGCTGGTTTGGTATCGGCGGGCAGTCGCAGAGGGCAGACGGCAAAGAGTGACGGTCGCAACTGTCCCTCCGCGTTTGCTTCGCTGTGCAACTGTCGGCCGTCCGCGTCATTGTGTTTCGTGCCCTCCGGTACCTCGTCGAATTTGACCGCTGCCATCACGAGTCACCCCCTGACCCCATTTGGATGCTTTTCATGTCATCCTGAGGCAAAAACAGTGCTGGACCGTGTTGATAAATGCGGGAGGGGCAGCCCTGATGAACCCATCGATCAACAAAGAGGTGATGATGAGAGCCGGGCAGTAGGCGGGGGACACC